GAGGGAGGGAGGGATGGGGAATCTCGACCACCACCAACCCCTATTCCTCCCAACACCTCACTTCTTCCTATGCCTTGCTTCCATCCCTAAAGTCTGGTGCACTCGAGGATACACATAGGAAGACTGGAGGAAGAAAAGATGTGCAAGGGGGCAACATCGCATCGAGATAGTACGTACTACACGCAGAGGGAGAGAGGTGGGCGCGGAGAGGAAAGGCAGGGGGTGGGGGGAGGAGAGCAGAGGTGATGGGAGCGGAGGGGAGAGGTGGCACCCACGGCTCGGCAGGGTGGCGCGCTCCACGCCGCCGCCGTCTGCCCGCCGCCGCCACCGCGCCAAGGGGAGGAGGGGGGAGGGGTGAGGTGGGGTGAGGGCGAAGGGGGAGGAGGAGTAAGGGTTTAGGGGCACGAGTCACCACCTGGCGTCTGCTCCTGCATGGCGGCCGCCCAGCGTTACCTCCTAAACACACACACACACACACACAAAGTTTGTCTCTCTCGCTCTCTCCCACACACACAGTTTCTGTCTCTCTCGCTCTCTCTCTCTCACACACACACACACCAGCGTAGCAAGGATGGCGCGAAGCAGCCACGTGGCGTGTCGGAGGCACGAGCCCCCCGACGGACGGTTCCACGGGATGAGTGCCCCCCCCCCCTCCACCCGCTCCTCTAGGGGGTGATTGGGGGCTCCTCGGCGTGCATCTGGCGGGAAGAAGCGGGCGGGCGGGCTCCGCGGCCAAAACGGGCGGAAGGGAGAGAGGGAGATGAGAGAAGGTAGTCGGCGCCCCAAACACGTGCAGGCAATGCCGTAGTAGCCAGCCAACCCAAAGTGTAACTTTGAACATCCACATACGACAGCAAATTTCATTCATATTCGCAAAGTATGTCGGAATGAAAATGTGTGACATCCAAACACGTAAAAGTGCAATAAACTGTGCACGCGGACAAAACACACACACACACTCAAAAGTGTGTGCGAGACAAACATGCCTTTTTATTACTTTCTCTATGGGCGGCACACAACAATTGTAACACACTCCTTTGAGTGTGACACTTGGCACGCACTTGTTGGTGTTTGGATGTCAGGCATTTCTGTTTGTAGAGTGACGCGTACTATACACCCGTCTCTCTCTCTCGCGCGCGCAACGACGCTATGCTGCGCACTGCGCCGCACGCACCGGGAGCCAGCAGAGCAAGAAATGAGAAAGAATTACGACCAATTTATGGATAGTCCCACGGCGACGTATGTATTAGGGCCGCGAGGCCTAACGGCATCAGAAGGCTAAAAGGTAAGAACGGCAATTTCGAAAAAAAGAGAAGCAAAAACCCAAGAGGGTGGAACAATGAAAAGAAGAGGGATAATTAAGCCGAATATCGTTGCTGTTCTTTTTTTTTTTTTTGCAAGTGTACCTTTTGTAGAGCTGCGGCGTGAGCGCATACTTCTCCAGTCGCTGCAGAGGCGGCAAGAAGTCGTACGAGTCGTAGCCCTGCGCGGCCGCCGCATCGGGGTCACCCGCGCCGTCATCAGACACTGCAAAAAGACAAAAGGGTGAAACAATTAAAACACGACCAACTCGACACATTTATCGACGACGACATCAACTTCATAACTATAATAGTGTTCACGAGCTCCGCGTCGTCAAGTGGCAGGCAGGGTTGATGTGCGGAAGGGGTGGGGAGGAAGGGTGGATCCCCATAGGAGAGAAAGGGGGCAACTCAAACACCGTGACCACGGCATTGCACATTCAACTCACCCCTTCCACATCGCCCACCAGGCAAGTCTCGGCGGGCGAGCAAAGTCACACACGTAGCAGCCAGTTCCACGAATCACAACCCACCCCCCACCCCCATACCAACTCTCACCTGGAGAACGTCGCACCCCTGCGGCCGACGAGGGGACGCGGAATTGGGAAGGGGGAGAGTACCACGCGAGAGTGAAAGTCTCCCCCAGTGAAGCCCCCTGCCCGGGGCGGGCAGGGCTGGGGGTAGTGAGTGGGGGTAGTACAGCACCGACCGGCGAGCGGGGGCGGCGGGGGAAGCATCAGGGGAG